ATATATATATATATCACAAAGAGTCCCTTGAAGATTTTTGAGTTCACATAAGATTTTTAAGAATTTGTGATAAGTGTGCTCTTGAGGATTAAAAGGTCAGTTAGATGACATGTCTTTTTTTGGTTTATTATTAAAGAATATTTTTCGTTAAACATGAGAACAATCTCTTTTAAAAGTTAGATAAGTATCCGGTTAACATAATATATTAGTTATGTATTAAGACATAGACTGAAGTGGATCACTTATCCAAATAATTTACTGTATATCATATTTTCTAGACTCATTTTCTGTCTGGTAGATTAATCTATAAAATTTATCTTGCTACAATACACCCACTGAATGGTATCATTACCATTCAGTTTTTTCTCTTTGTTCACCACCACCATGCACTAATGTCCCCCTCCGTTCAACATGGGGATGATTTTTTGGCAGCTGCGTCACTTTTACCCCCCCTTTTCACTTTTTGATTTTTAGCTTATCACTTCTTCTCCCTCCGACGGTGGTGCATGCACAATGGTTGGCATGGTGAATCTTAGAAAGAACAAAAAAAAAATTGAGTGATAGATGCATTATAAAAGTGTCAACATACATTAATCTAGGAGGCAATAATTTTAGTGTACAATATAGCCCTTATGAAGGTGGTGTGCCGTAGAATCCGTCATGTATTAATATGAACAAAATCAAAATATTGGTTATGCATTCCAAATTTCAATTGTAACTTGACAAGTTTTTGTCAGAAACAGTATCTGGGCAAATGTTGATGGATGATGAGGCAAACATTTTATTAAGAAAAGGAAGGAAGACAAAGCACCTTATGGAATTAAATTCAAATGATGCACCTTCTTGTAACACGGCTCTTTATTTATTTATTTTTATCGATTTGGGCAGCCTTTTAAACAATTTACAAAAAATAATGAAGAAAAATAAACTAATTACTGGTTTTGAATAAGACTTTTATATGTACACCTATTATACTCTTTTTTTTTTTTTATAGATATAAGTCCTTTTTTCATAAACTATTTCAATTTTTTTTTTATTTTGAAAATTATATGATATTTCGTTATATAGATTCATATTAACGTATAAAATAATTTAATGATTATCTATTAATTGAAATTAATAAAATAAAATATTAAATAATTTTTAAAATTTATAAACTTGATATATACATTAAGAACTCTTAATTTAATAATTAGATTGTTGAAATTTATCATACACCATGAGCTTAATATTAAAAAATACTCAATACGATATTTAAGTTTTTCCTTAAAAATAATTTTTTTATATTCTAAACATAAAGTAGTTATTATTAATGGAAAATATTGCATATTCTTAAAACTTAGAAAAGTATTATGATATATACAGATTTCCATTAGTCTTGTTTTAAACATTGATTCAGACCCTCTCCCTTTTTTTTTTTTAATGAAACACATATTGATAAAATATGATCGTTTTTCCTGTGATAAAAATATTTCAGACTAATAATTAATTTTGTATGTTTTGATTAGTTGTTTTATATAGAAGCATCTTAGAGAGGAGTATATGAATTAATTAATTAGTATGAGATTGTTTTAATTTTATATCAAATTCAAGTCTAGGATATTCATCTGTGATAAATATTTGAATGAAAAGTCATGGATCCTAACTTTTACCAGAGTCAAATAAGACAGACCTATGCTCTATAAAAGAAAATATAGAAGTACCTTATATTTTATAAAACAAAAAATGTACCTGATGCTGGTCAAAAAGACTGAAAGTTGGGGTCCAATCCAAATGTACCTGTGCCATTTGTTTGTGTCTGAGAGTGCATAGTTTATGCTAGATTCTTGCCCTAAATTGTAATCTAACTAGCGTACTTAAGTGTACCTTGTAATCTTTCTTTATGTCTTTTGGGCTATTCCCTCTCCCTATTGACATGTTTCGATTTAAGCCATATTTTCTATCCCTTTATCTATTTGCCATTGGGAATTAAGACTTTGCTTCGGCCTTTGAACTTTATCCCACTTTTATTTATATTTTTCAATGTAATTTTTTATATTGGCTATCAATTTATAAACCATAAAATATATATATATATATATATATATATATATAAATAT